GCAGGGTGGAGGTGAGGTGGAGGCAGGGTTTGAGGCAGGGTGGAGGCAGGGTGGAGGCAGGGTTTGAGGCAGGGTGGAGGCAGGCTGGAGGCAAGGTGGAGGTGAGGTGGAGGCAGGGTGGAGGCAGGGTGGAGGCAGGGTGGAGGCGAGGTGGAGGCGAGGTGGAGGTGAGGTGGAGGCAGGGTGGAGGCGAGGTGGAGAGGGTGGAGGCGAGGTGGAGGCTGGGTTTGAGGCAGGGTGGAGGTGAGCTGGAGGTGGAGGTGAGGTGGAGGTGAGGTGGAGGCGAGGTGGAGGCAGGGTTTGAGGCGAGGTGGAGGCAGGGTGGAGGCGAGGTGGAGGCTGGGTTTGAGGCAGGGTGGAGGTGAGGTGGAGGCGAGGTGGAGGTGAGGTGGAGGCGAGGTGGAGGCAGGGTGGAGGCGAGGTGGAGGTGAGCTGGAGGTGGAGGCGAGGTGGAGGTGAGCTGGAGGTGGAGGTGAGGTGGAGGTGAGGTGGAGGCAGGGTGGAGGCGAGCTTTGACCCGCAGTGGGAGAGGAGGCTAGTTGCTGATTAATCTCCCACAGCGACCTTGAACCCGCCTCCCGGCCAGTGGACCCGGCTGACTGTTGACAGAGCGCCGGGCTAGAGATAACGCTAACATGTCAGAGTCTGTGTTTCTGCAGGATCAGCACAATCCAGGAAGGACGCCTCTGAGGCTTCAGGATCCAGGGATCACGGAAGAAGGGAGGGAGAGCTTACAGAGAGTGCTGGGGAGTCACTTTGTGTGTAATGGATATAGAAAAACACTGATAATCATTTAAACCCTCACTCTGTGTTCGGCAACACGCCTCCTCTGTTACTGAACATGAGTCGTGTTCTTCTATATCCATTACACACACATCCTGACAACGACTGACTTCCAACACCGTTTAGAAACTTTGTGGAAACAACAAATATGAAAGGTTATAAACTAGAGATGCAGAATTAACATTAAGGTTAGAAATGACTGCTGGATGGTCTGATGGATGAATGGTCTGTGTGTGTGTTCATGCAATGATTCCAGAAAGAGCTCTACAATGTGCTGCTTTCCTCTCGTCTTAAAGGGAGAGACAGAACTATCCTGATTAAATGAGAACAGAATCACCAACTTGTTTTAGGAGCTGAGGATTTCTGAGGCTCTCAAAGAGTGAGCGAAAGAACCGTGTTGGTTAACAGTGAGCAGTTAAATCAGGATGTGTATTAAAAACATGTTCACTGAAGAAAGTCAGACTCAAACGTGGAGTTGTGCTCCTTTTACATCCATACATGTGAACGTGATTATTTTCAGACAAAAGAACACGTTTGAAGAGCAAAGAGAGAGAGAGGGATGTCTGTCACTTCACGACTAAAGGAGGAATGAATCAGCTGAGAGAGAGAGAGAGGAACGGGATTCTGTTGGAAGTCACTTTGTTTGTGATGGATATAAAAAACACTATTTCTCATTTCATGTTCAGTAACAGGAGGTTTGTGGCTGAGCGCGCGGAGGAAAGGCCGTTTTCTGCTGCGTGGAAACAATAAAGTGTTAAATAATGAAAACGACACGCGCTCTGATGGAGTCATGTTTTCATGGAGGTGTCTTCAGCGTCTCAAACGAGGTGCTGCTGCTCTGAGTCTGATGTCACACCAAAGGGATTCTCTTTGAGATGTAGACAGAACAGAACGAGACATTTGAAGAACTAGCAGAGACTGGTTAGGGTTAGTGACCTCGCTCGCTATTTTCAGAGTAAAAGGGAAATTAATCAGCAGATTTGTGTCTCAGGGTTTGTGTGTCACTCAGTGAGTCGGCACAGGAGCGGTGTCTCAATCGGCTGAAAGGCCGTCGCTAAGAGGAGTTGGGTGTTTTAGAAAAACACTAGTTCAATCATCCTCATGTTATATATTATATTATATTATATTATATTATATTCAGCAACAGAGGAGGCTCGGTGTCTGCTGTGTCGTAACAACAAATATGAAAGAATTAAAACTAGATGCACAATAAGTCGATTAACAAGAAACGGTCAGACGGGTTCATCATTAGATATTATTTGAAGTCAGAAATGGATCTGAAATGTGGAGACTCTGCTTTAAATCACATTAAAGGGATTATCTGTGGACAAAACAAGACATTTAAAGTCCTGATCTGTTTTCTCTATTGATCGAGAAATGGTGAACATGTCCATCCAGTTTCCCTCAGGTCTCCATGTTGTGTTGTGTCTTAAGAGGATCACTCTGATGTGATATGAAACACAGAAAAGCAGCAGATCTTCACTGAAAGCACTTTCTGACATTAATGCATGGAAATCCATTCGCTGAGTCTCAGCCACTGGGATCGACGTGTTTCACTTTTTCACGACTAGAATATCAAATAACCTGCAGACTTTAGCTCTCATCTTGCTGATGAAATCCCCTCCACGTCCTTACATCACCTCACATTGCTCCAGCGTGTTGATGTCAATGGCTTTATCCTAAATTACAACATGTGAACTCCACCTTACTGTCGAGACGTGTTCTATCTGCAATGTGTCGAACATATTAATATTAAAGTCGCCCCTCCCGTCTGCTTCAGAAAACCTCAGAAAAGAAGAAATTACAAACAAAACTGTTTTTTTTAGACAAAAGTATAAATCTGTTTAATTCAATAAAATATCAAGTACAATTACAGCATTTCCCCCCTTCCCCCTTTTAATATTAAATAATTAAGACTTATTTCATTCATTGCCAACACTATTACATAGAGTTGCATCATTTCACTGCAGCACAAACTCTCCCCCGACAAAAACACACTGCTCCAGATACAACTGTAAGAGAATCACAGAGACACTGAACACACACCGAGGTCCGGATCCATGTATTCTTTCTCTGGGTGTTTACAGGCGATAAAGTCACATGGGATGTCAGGGTTTCAATAAGGTGCAGCCTGGGAAGAACAGCTGGTTGTTTTACTGCCAAAGAGCCGTCACATGTTTGAGCACAGGTTGAAGGAATGTGTCTGTAGTGTGAATTTGTACCGTTACTTACAATTAAACATTGATTTTCACACATTTTGGGATCATTTTCTGCACATCCAGATAGTACCGTGGATCATTCAATGGAATATTTAACCTGATTTTGATGCATCACTTCAAGTTGAGTTACGATGCTGCACACTGACATTTCATTCCCTTTTCGCCCCGTCCAAATGTCTTAAAAAGCACACATGTTAAGAAAAAAAACATGAGAGGGTGCATGCCCCAAAACCCCCCCTATAACAGGTCGATTTTGGACCTCGGTATTTGTAAAATCCTGCATGTATGGCCACGAACAAACACACAAGACATCTGAGGAGACATGTGAACAATCTGAGGAGAGGATTGCGCAATAACCTGATTTTCATGCACTTCAAATGTAACCGTGACGCGGCTAGAGTCCAGTTTCTGCCCCTCCAGATGCCTCAACACGCACACATGTTAAGAAAACTAAAACAGGGTGCACGCACGCGCACACACACACACACACACACACACACACACACACACACACACACACACACACACACACACACACACACACACACCACGACATCTGAGGAGAACATGTGAACAGTCAGAGAAGGATTGCGCAATAATAATCCGTGCGCAATAATCCATGCGTCCCATCCATAGTGTCCGTGTAAAACCCGTGTACCGTGTCTCTAGAGTCTCGACGAGTCCCGGTCCCGGTTCTAGCAGGTCCCGGTGGCGGAAAGCAGGTTTCTCAGGGTGCCGAGCTCGCGCGACAGCTGCTCCACGCGCTTCTGAAGCCGGTCGTTCTCCGCCGCGAGCTCCAGGACTTTGTGCTGCGTCTCCAGATTACGGATCTTGGCTTTGTCTCTGCTCTTCCGCACGGCCAGGTTGTTCCTCTCCCTCCGGACCCGGTACTCGTCGCTGTCCTTGTCCAGCCGCTTCTTCTTGTTGGGTTTCATGCTGCTGGACACCTCCCCGCCCCCTGCAGCCGAACTCTGAGCGGTTCTGGTGGGGCTGGAGCAGGTGGAGGAGGAGGAGGAGGACGCGCTGGAGAGGTTCCCTATGCTGCCGCTGGCGGACTGCTGGTAGTGGATGTAGGACCGCATATCGAACCCCGAAGACCCGTTTTCCATCTTCCCGTCCTCGCGGCTGTCCTCTCGGTACCGGCTCGCGGGGTTCAGCACGCTATCCATGCGCGTGTCCTGCAGCTCCGCGTACCCTATGTGCGCGTAATGCTGAGGGTCCCGCAGGGGGTCCTCCAGCTGGTTCAGCAGGGAGTAGTTCTTGTGCAGAGCCGACACCCCCCTCTTGATCTTGTTCTCCAGCAGGAAGTCTGAGAACACGTCCTGCTGGTTCTGGTTCTGCTGGTTCTGGTTCTGGTTCTGCTGGTTCTGGTTCTGCTGCTCCAGGTACGCGCTGAAGTCGATGGCTCTCTCTCGCTCCTCGAGCTCCGTCATCGGGTCTCCGAGCCTCCAGGGGCCGGGGTGCAGTGGGGTTTGCTGGGGGGGTTCTCTGCGGAAGCCGCCCTCCTCGTCGTAGAATCCGGCCACTTCCATGGAGCTGCACGCGCAATAAGAGCAGGAGCGTCTGCGGAGACGCTCGCGGTGTTTTGGGGAGGGGGTGTGATGTGGTTTTAAATCCCCTCCGTGTGAGAAAGTAGTTCTGAGGAGGCTCGGCTCACAGTGACAGGTCTTCCGGTCTCCGGGGGTTTTATTAGATATGGAGGGGGAGGCGGGGCTTAAAACTGGGCAGGTGCGTGACGCGGCGGGGAGAAAAACTTACTCGATCCGAAATAAAAGTTAAATAAAAGTTAGAAATACTCACAGGTAAAGGTTTCCCTCAAGTTAAAGTACAAACATATATAATAGGCTACAGTTTGCAAAGTGTTACTATACTCCAAATAGAAGTACAAGCAGAAGTTAAGGGAGTACTCAGATCCTATACTAAAGTATTTAAACTACTGTGCAGAAATACTTTGTTACAAGTAAAACTCCTGCATTCAAAACTTTACTTTGGTTGATTTATATTTTGTATAATTTGAATATGCAAAGTAACTAAAGCTGTCAGATCAATGTAAGTACAATACTGGCGGTGTAGAAGTAGTGTCTCTACTTTAAAGAGTCCTCTCCTGCTGATGTTCAGGTGTATATCAGTATGTAGTGTCTCTACTTTAAAGAGTCCTCTCCTGCTGATGTTCAGGTGTATATCAGTATGTAGTGTC